GCTCAAACATGTTAAATGGTACAATTGCAAACAATTTTGGAGGTCTCCGGTTTAATTTTCTGTAAGTCTTCAAATAATCAATAATGATATTAACGCGTAACTCGAAAACTAACTCTCTCTTTTATTTGGCTGGTTTAGGTTTCTGAGTAATAACTCATTGACTGGTCCAGTTCCTGAGTTCATACTCAGCAGTAAACAAAACATGTAAGCAAACTAAAACTAAAAAAAATATTCGATATATACCATTCTACGCTTATCGAGTCACTAATTCTTTGTTCTGTTTTCAGCGATTTATCTTACAACAATTTCACTCAGCCACCACCTTTAAGCTGTAATCAGCTTTCTGTGTAAGCATTTTTGTTGCTGTTGTTTCATATCAATGATCTTCTTCAGCTTAGACTTCTCTACTTGACCTTTTATGTTTCTTATTAGTTTTATTGGTTAATACTTTCAGGAACTTGATCTCTAGCTACCCTTCAGTAACCGATAACTCGTGAGACTCCTTTTATTTCCCGCCTTTTTCGGTTCATAAAACCCGCAAAAACGCGTAAAATACTTACAATGAAACAAAATCTCTTACTTGTGTAGTGTTCAATGGTGCTTAAGAGAGGATCTTCCATGTCCTGGAGATGCAGAACGTAAGTGTTACATCTTAAAGATTCAAACTTTCAATTGTGTATACTATAAAGACTCAAACTTTATAACATTATTGATCCCGGATTTTATCGCAGACTCATCTCTGTTCATCAATAGTGGAGGAGCAAGAACAAAGATTGGAAAAAACACTTATGCAGAAGACTTAAACAATCAAGGAGCATCAACATTCTCTTCTGTGTCTGAAAGATGGGGATATAGTAGTTCTGGATTTTGGGTAGGAAATGGAAGTGCTAGCTACTTAGCTCAAGATCGATTTAACTTGATGAATGAATCGGTTCCAGAGTATTACAAAACCGCTCGTCTCGCTCCACAATCACTAAAGTACTATGGATTGTGTATGAGAAGAGGAGGTTACAAAGTGCAGCTACATTTTGCAGAGATTATGTTCTCAAATGACAAGAGTTATAATAGTTTAGGACGACGAGTTTTCGACATTTATGTTCAAGGGAATTTGTTGGTGAGGGACTTTAACATAGCAGAGGAAGCAGGTGGAGTTGGTAAACCATTCACAAGGCAAATTGATGATGTTCAAGTGAATGGAAGTACATT